TGCGACAGGTATATATATATATATATATATATATATCTAAAATTTTTATGAAATATTTAGCTGTCTCCGATTAATTTTTAAATATTATTTTACTTTACCGTTTTTAAACACACGGAGAAGAATACATTTCAACTTTTTATCTTTACTTTTTAATATGCGATTATAATGAAAAAAGCCTTTAATTTACGTTTAATTACGTTTATATTAACTTACAAATGTTTTTTTCTTTGTTCTTTGTAGAAAAGAAGGTAAAGTGACGGTGGAACGTACTTTGCCTCACAGCATTACCGATTGGATCGGATATACCGCGTGCGTTTCACCTACGCATGGTCTTGGGATAGCACCACCGACAACCATCACAGGATTCCAACCGTTCTTCCTCGATTACAGCTTGCCATACAGCGTGAAACGTGGAGAAATGTTACGCATGAAAGTTTCCTTGTTTAATTATATGCAACACAGTTTACCGGTAAGTCTTCAACTCTGAAATCACGAGCATTCGACGTTTGTTTCATTCTTTTTCTACTCGAGAATTCTACGTAATATTTTTATAAAATTTAAGTGGAAATGAAATAAAATACAAATTGAATATCAACGTAAACATATTAAATTACGAATAAGATATATTTTAGACACACATGAACTCTTGAATAATAATTGAGAAATGTTGAATATAAAGTCGATCGAACGATGGTTTGGCGTTTGCAGGTCAAAATCAAGTTGGAAGATGCAACGGGACTCGACTTGCATCTGTCGCATGCAGTCGCTTCGTTCTGCGTGAAACCACGAGACAGCGTGGTTCATGAGTATATTCTCAGACCACGAGTCCTCGGCGACGTTAACATTACGGTTTCCGCCTCGATCGATTCGGAATACGCCGAACCGTGTGGCCCGGAAGTGCTTCTATACACACGGTAAATAATCCAGCTCGAATGTATTTTTTTATTAATTTTTTTTTTTTAGAATTCACGCATTCGTCATAAATATATATGAAAATTCACTTTAATTAAAAAAGAACGTAAGTTTGGCGAGAATAAAATTTTGAACATTGCATGTAATATTAAAGAATAAAAAGTTTCTGATACTTTGATGATCGAAATATAATTTAACTTAAGCGTTGGAAATTGTTATAATCGATAGTATTCGGTAATTCGCTAATTTTTTTCAGGGATGTGATTGTAAAGCCGATACTGGTGTTGCCGGAGGGCTTCCCCGTAGAAATGACGAAATCCGCGTTTATTTGTCCGAAGGACTTCAGCGACGATTCCACAATAACTTGGAATCTCGAGCTACCCGATGATTTGGTACCCGAGAGCGCGAGAGCGTATGTCTCTCTAATAGGCGACATTTTGGGACCAGCCCTCGAAAATCTAGACAATCTCGTGCGCTTGCCAATGGGATGCGGCGAACAAAACATGATCCTCTTTGTCCCCAACATCCACGTGATCGGCTACCTGGACGCGACCGGAGTCGAGAATCCGGAGCTGAGAGCAAAAGCAGTCAGAAATATGGAGAAAGGTACGCGCTCGAACCTGATCCGATTTTAGTTTGTGATTGAGGATATGTATTTTTTTTTTACTACACACACATATATATATATATATATATTCGATCGTGCGACACAGGATACCAGCGAGAATTGATATATAGACATCCGGACGGCTCGTACTCCGCATTCGGTCCGGAAAGCTTGGAAGACGGTAGTTCGATCTGGCTCACCGCATTCGTGATAAAATCCTTCGCTCAAGCAAAGAGTATAATTCACATCGATGAACGAGATTTGAAAATTTCCGTAAAATGGATGGTGAAGAAGCAATTGGAAAACGGATGCTTCCCGGTGATCGGCAGGGTATTCCACAAAGATATGAAGGTATTATATGGCATTCAAGCCCAAGGAGAAGCGACATTTAATATTTTTAAATGTGTTCGCAGGGTGGTTTGCAGGATGACGACAGTTCTTCCTCGGCGTTAACGGCATACATCCTGATCTCGCTCTTAGAATCGGGCGTACCGTTAACTGCATCACTCATTAACAACGCTCTCCATTGTCTGGAGAAAGGAATGGAGGACGATGGCGGTACGACGTACACGGCAGCTCTATCCACTTATGCGCTAACATTATTGGAGCATCCAAAGGCGAACAACAGCATGAAATCGCTTATGAAACGTGCCACGCGGAACAACGTACGAAATTACAAATAACAAAATTAATTCTGACTTTAATGTAAACAATCTTGTAAGACAAATTTTAGCTTTTTTAACGATGAATCTTCTGTAATGTAATCTTCATAGGAAATTTTCTTTTTGGAAACATGGTGTCTTAAACATACACCATAAATCTTCATTATAGATGCAAGTCGGAACAGCGTCGTCCTAAATCGACATAGATAAAAACTCCGACTGCAATCTCCCGACGCAAATTTCCGTTTGTTTTCGTAGGATCTTCTCTGGTGGGAAGACAAGCATAAACCGTCATTAGGATTGAGCATTGAAATGACAGCGTATGCGGTGCTGTCGTTGGTGAAATTAGGCGGCGAGACGAACATGGTCGAGGCACTGAAGGCAGTCCGCTGGATGTCGAAGCAACGCAACGCAGAGGGTGGTTTCACGTCCACTCAAGACACCGTGCTCGGTCTGGAGGCTCTCACGAAGTACGCCGCCGCGATGTCGAGCAACACCACGGATCTCTCGGTGCTCGTGACCGCCGGTGAAGTGGATCAAGTTTACAGAATGCACAATGACAATCGCATGATTCTCACGCAGATTCGTCTGCCTGTGATACCCACGATAGTCGAAATCTTCGCCGAGGGTGAAGGCTGCGTCCTAGTACAGGTATAGCCTCGTTTTTTATATGTAGAATATTGTTTCAAATATACTTGTATACTCGCCAAAATCAGAAATTCGCATAAATGCATGGAAAAAGTAATAATTTTGCACATTCGTAATGAGAACAATAACATTTAGTTGATGCATCGAATCATTCGTTATTAAATTAGAAACGGTGTCTTCTTGCAAGAATAGAAAAAATTTTCCGAGTATATTTGGTCTTTAGAATCACATTTGCTATTAAAGTGTATTAGACAAAAAAGTGTATTAGCAAATATATTTAATGGAGCAAAATCACTACTGTTCAGAAAAGCATTAATGATTAAGTAAGAATCAATTTTATAGCAAAATAATTTGAAATAATAGATCTAATAAAATTATATTTAGCAAAGAGCAATTAATAATTTTTATTAAATCTTATTGCTGTCCATAGTGACTAATAAATTTTGTTGAGCAAATTATTTTTTCCGTATGAGGAATAACTTTTTAAAAATATTTTAATGTTTGTCAGAAAACGTAAAACTGTTATCTTTTTAGAGCAATATAAAATACAACGTTGCACATGCAACCGGCTCCGAGGCTTTTGACCTCTCGGTTAATGCAGCTTCCGCAACATGGGTAGACGAATGCTCGATGCAAAAGATCACAATTTGCACGCGATATAAAATGGCAGATGGAGAAAGTAACATGGCATTACTGGAAATTGGCATGATAAGCGGATATGTCCCGGATCGCACGAGCCTCCATTCATTGTTGGAAGATCCAGCCACGAGTGAGTAATCAAGATTAGAATAATCGCGACATTATGCATTAGACAATGCAATTTTTGCAATTTGTTAAAAAAAACGATTGCAAATTGACGAAAGCATCTACAAGTAAAAAGCGATTCATTAAGTTTGAGACATTCTATAAATCTGTGAAATAAATCGCGATTGTTTTCATAATCGCGATTGTTTTCATAATTATTTTAACATTATTTTATTTATAAAAAGAATATTAGGAAATCGCAATTGCTGTTATATATGCTGTTATATATAATATTAATGTGCACTATATAAGGAACATTAAAATGGAATTCATTTCTGAGTTGATCAACATATCGCGAATATTTGCAGAAGTAAAACGTTTTGAAGAGGATCGCGGTATTGTCACTATTTACTTCGACAAATTGATTAATCAAAAGACCTGTATATCGTTTACGGTGACCAGAGAAAATATAGTGGACAGACTCGAACCAGCGAATGTAAAACTCTACGATTACTATCAACAGGAGTTGACAATATCTAGCGTAAGTTTACAAATTTTACAAGTTTTACAATCATTAAATACATACACACACACACACACGCGCGCGCGCGCGCGCGCGCAGAGAGGGAGAGGGATCTTCAAACTATCAGAGTTCTTTTTAAGAGCTTCTTTAAATATTTTAAGACGAAAATCCTAATACAAAAATATATATATGTGTGTGTGTGTGTGTGTATTTCATAATATTCATATTTTCTATTTTTCAGAGCTACAGTTTTGCGCCGACTTGCAGCAGTGCCACTCCGAGCGAAGAAGCGGAGATTCCGGTGCCGATAGAAGTGCAACAAATGGGCAAAGATATCGCGAAGAAGGACATCGTGGAAAAGGAGGGAACAGTCGAAATTGAAAAGGCAGCCGAAATTCCGGATGATGGCAACGGAACTGTAGAGCAAATAGGTAATGCGAGTCAAAATCCAGGACATCGGCTAAAGCCGCCAATTAGTCTAATCTAGTCAAGTAACTTTGTGACAAAGTAAACTGGAAGAAAATTCTTCTCTCACGATATCTTAAATTTTTCAAATTTTTCTCAGTACCACAAAGAGAAGCTGGAAGCGGTCAAACACCGGACGAGCCAGACATCAATCTAAATCCCGTGTTCGATAGACTTGGACCTCCCAATATAGATCTCGAGGATATGGAGGTACCGTTCTCGACTTTCAACAAGCCAAGTCAAGATCCTTTCGCAACGGATTTTGAAGGAAATCCGCATTTCGTCGTGGTTGATCACGAGCTGGCGACTCCCGAAGGTATCGAAGGGCCAGTGCCGGTTTCCGTGAAGCCTGATATCGCGTATTTCGACGCTTATCCGCTGAATGTAACCAATGAAACCGATCAGAAAATCGAAGCGGATTTGAGCAACACACAATTGCAAACATGTATGTATGTAAATTCAAACTAATAAGTATGAAAGTTATTATATAACAAAATTAAAGGCCAGAACACGCCTCGGTTCTTCTTTTTTCAGAAGAACTTTGTATCAATATCTCACGCTTGCTTCAATTTATGCGCGATATCTTTTTCAAGCCAATTAATATCTTGCCAATTTAGAAATTATCTTAAATTGGCAAGATATTAATTTTCTTCTTATCGATAATCAGAATTATTTTTCAGTACCTTTCGGTTCGAACGAGTCCTGCCCTGTATGCTCCGATGAATTACCGCCGAACATCAATGACCTTTATTGCTCCGCCAGTAGTGTCGCGAAGGCGGCGATCAGACGATTGCGAAAGGCAAGATTCCTATTAGACATGCAATCGTCGCGCGAAATCAAACGTCTGCATTCGACGATTGCATTTGTGTTAAGACCCAATTGTTCCTGTCCGCCTTTAGATAACCGTAAGTGTATGATTAGGTACATACAATTATGGCTCTTTCATATCATAATTATTTTATTATATCACTGTTTCTAATTTGAATTCCAGCTGGAAGTCTAGCATTGCTGATGCACTTCGAGGACAGCGAGTTTGCTAAACGCTCGCATAATTGGTATATCTTAGATGAACAGGTTTCTATATACGGACTACCATCGATCGGTGGTGTTCCACGTGAGATATTAGACGCTCGTGCAACGTGCGCGAATCAAGATAACAGCGCATCTCTTAATCTTCCTATGGCTGACTGATCTTCGGCATTCCGCCAAGAATATACCGAATGCGAATAATAGGACACGTCATGTGTCATATTATTTGAAATAATCGAGAAATTTTCAGGCGCGTACAAAAATTAAATATGCGAACTATACTCGAACTAGGATAAGATTGACTCTGACTTGAACCACGAAATCCGTCATTATACTTTGATTCATTAATTGTAATACGCTTTGCATGTAACCTGGAGGTAAATGTTACACAGGGTATTTCAATCAACATAGGACACATTCTGAATTACACTCATCTGTGAATCTCTCTTCTCCTGCATGTCACATATTTTGACATCACGAACGCCATAAGACGCGGAGTATACGATGGGAAAACATAATATCTGATAGTGTCATACAGTGTCATTTTTACAGCGAAGTTATATTACATTTATACCGTAACTCCCGTAATTTTTGTGAATAGCAAATAATTGACGAGTTATTACATAAACTGTGTAAATAATAAAACAGCGATTTATGACATAATAATTGAGTAATTTAATGCATCCGTAAAACATTAACATCTCTAGTATCATTTCATTTTAATATCATATTTTCCGTATCAATTTGAATATGCATTAAATTTTGAAGTAAGATGTGATAATACATCAATTCTTTTTGCAATTAACTGTAGAAAAATATTTCTAAATATTAAAAATCATATAAATTAAAAATCAACCGAATCGAATTCTACATTAAATACCGTTTATTCATAATGTATTATTTAATACAATTTTAATCCGTGATTATAATCGTCCATTTGACATTTAATGTTAATAAGATTGAGTCGGTCAGTAGCGATATTTTAATCGAATCTACCTTCTTTTCGATATTTATATTCCATGTTTCCCAAAGGATGAATACTATTAAATATCAAATGGATAGATTTTCTCTGGAAGTATTATTTATTCACGCTGTATACAGTTAAATGCAATTGAAATAAATAAAACATATACTATTGCTTACTATACACTATTCATCGCGCCGGTTCGCTACAATACCATTGAGAACTTAACTACGTAAAGGAATGAAAGGATGAAATGTAATTGGCAGTAATAAATCGGTATTCGCCGTCTATCGCGCGCTAGATGATCGAACGTGCTTTTCGGCTGCGGATGCCCGAGACAGGAATAGGCAGTGTATGTTTGCGGCGAGTATGCACTGATAGAAACGGCGAGCGACGTAAAACGATGCGCGTAAAGACACATTTGTAAAAGAAGACTCTAACAACGTGACGTGTGATATCTAATACTCAATAACGGAAGAATGCTCGGATTTCGGGACGTTCGAGTCCCGAAGATCGGAAAGAGCATCCCTTTCTCTTTTTATTTTTTCTT